AAGGGACAGCACAAGTTAAAAGTGCTAACTTACAATTAGATGCTATCCTCCCAACACAACTAGTAGCTAGCTGCTATCTCATGACAGTATGTAGCCACTTCTGCACAAGATAGCCAAAAGAAATCGACATTCCTTGACCCAGGAAGTCTACAGGTAGCAATCTGCTTTTTGATGGCAGTATGCACCCACATTTGCACAAGCACACGCAGTGAATAGGCAACATGCCGCTGCTACTCGACAACTAGCATGCATGCCTTGAAGCGTGATGGAATCCGCATATTTTGCTTCACAGCCTAGATATGCAGCAGCTCATGCACAACCAAGATACCTCCCTTGCACAAAATACCCAGCATGACACATGCATGGCCTTCGAACTCTGTTGCCATCAGCTATAGTAGATAAACAAAAGACTACAACTTCACAAAATACTTCCTGCCATCGCACAACTCAATGGCAATCACTGTTGTCCATGTCCAGGTTGGCTGAAGCACGAGATGATCCATCTATAGTCCCTCCCTACAACAAAAATAAATATATAGGATCAGGAGGCAAGCATAAATAAATAAAACAACCTACTGCTGACACCAATCCTTACAGGAAGTAAGCATGCATCTATTTACAACCACTGAAACACTTTGAACAAATAAAAGGCAGCAGCTGCATAGTTTCATTCACTAGACAAATAAACTAGGACTTACTAGCAGCAACACACATGCCAACAACCAACAAGCAAAAATAGCCACTTGTTCCACAGAATCTTTTCACATGTAGATGAAGATAATGAGAGCTAATGGTATCTCTATTTTAAGCACATGCACAAGCAAGATACATATTGGTACAGCAAGACAATTTTGAGCACAAGCAGCTGCAGGTGAAGAAATTGTTAATCTTACCATGTCATTTTCTTCTACCTGAAGCAGGTCTGGTGGTATCTCTATTTGTACTTTGTTAAGAATGAGCTGCAGGTTAAGATACATAATTATACATAATTAGCATCAGACTTCGGGCTCTTTATGATTTCGCGATAGTAGTACTTGACAGCATCTGGACGAGCTTGGTACATCATATTCTTGCATTGGGTGTCAATCTCTATTGTGTCAGCTTGTGAGTAATTAGATAATAGAGTTGTCTGCATTTGCATCCGTTGTAGTGAGTCTTGGCACTATCGATTTGAGGGTAGAGACTAGAGACTACAGAATGAATGACCTTATGAAATCTCATTGAACTATTGAAATCAAAGCCAATCCTTTTAACCACACACCAACCAGAATCAAATGTTACACTCAAGTGTCATACATATAATCATCATCCAAGTTGTTCATACATTAGATTGTTCAATGGTCAATAAATCTCAAGCTACATTCTAAAGGCCTCACAAAATAAGGCAGACCCAAGTTATAGTGCTATAGTTCATGCAACTAACATATAGGAAATAGATGGAAATAGATAGAAGTTTAGTAATTACTTCCTACAAGCCCTTAGACAGCAATACACAGTAGCTGCTACACATCCATTCATCTCCATATCCTCAGCCAAAACAAGAAAAATATAACGATTCATGAGAAATCTTGTTAAATATACAGTAAAACAATTTAGTTGATTGCTTGTCCAACGTCTCTGAATTAAAAAAGTGACCATAGAGAGCACTACAAGCAGGGATGGCCACACAGGATGACAATAAAGCTGAGAAAGCAAGATCTAACCCACTATATCTATAAAACTAGGAATATTGTAACTAAAGCAAATCTGATTATTTACTTCAGTTCACCAAATAAACCATCAGTCAAAGAACAAAGCAACCTGATACTATATTGGGGTTCATTTATGTTGTGCAGAATAAATGAACATTACAATAATCTCCAAATTCATTGTTTTGGCAATCTGATCACACTCCTAAAAAAAATTCTTACACTTCCTTCAGCCGTAAGTGACAATTATCTTCAGATCCAAAAAATGATTTTCAAAGAAGCCAAATAAAACATGGAAATCATTCGGTCAATATTAAAAGGCAGGGAAGAAGAAGGGAACCTACAGAGATAGGTGATGGTAGCAAAGTCACTGTATATGGAATTCAGATCCAAATTTGCAGCAAAGTCGCTCTATATGGCATTCAGTACAAATCTGAGGTTGAGAGTTGGAGCTCAAGCTAATATAAGTAAAGACAATGCTTCCCCTTTCCCACATTCTATAGAAGTAGCAAAATTTGCTTCTGTAAAGAACTAAAACAGTCCATATATGGTCGATAACTTGAAACATGTGAAAATAATCAACTGTAGGCATATGCATGCTTCTATTAAGTGAGGAAAGGTAAAGTAGGCATGAATATTTTTTACCTAAACTAGCTGAAAAGTGTCTTGTCCTGCAGAAGCAGTTTGATCATTTTCACCTGCAAGAAAAGGATTCTCTTATATCTATATGGTGAAAGGAACCAAGCATTCTGTCAGCATGTATTTGAATGATTAGTTATGTTAAAACTGAACCAAGCATGAAACTTTACTAATTATACAGCTAGTATCCCTATCCAGTGTTCATGTGTATCATGCATAAACAAAACTAATAAAGCCATTGGTTCAAGATAATTGGCACTGTTTCCTGTATGCATAATAGTAAGCTCCTTACTATCTAACTGTAGTTTAGAAAACTTCAACAAGATAGTACATTAGAACCTATCTTTAGAACCAAAATGTTCAGATTTAAAATATTGTCTGGACAGCAAAAAGAATAAGAATATGCAGTCTAAGCTGCTGCTAATTCATGCAATCTCTAAGGAATACTACAGATATGGAACAATAAATGAATACTATACATAAAAAAAATTCTAAGAACACAGAGATGACAAAAAAATATTTTGGTGGCTAAATTCATGCACTTATGGATTATTAGTGATAACAGAGGTGATGGTAGCAAAGTCACTGTATATGGCATTCAGATCCAAATATGCTTTTCAAAGCCAAATTAAGACTAGGAAATCATTCAGTACATCATTTGTTTAGCTTGCCTCCAAAACTGAAAGTAAGTAGTAATAATCAACTACAATTATGTTACAGTGGGGGCAGCAAACTCGCCTGTGCTGGGACGCAGCTCATAGAGAACTCACCGGCGCATGGTGCCTCAAAGCCATGCATCTGCAGAAACAATTGTAAAGAGAGTGCCTTAATTCAAAGATGGAGTAGAAAATGGGTGTGCCATACTGGCATACAACATGGCCATAGTATCTGCAGATTAAAAAATAAAAAAAGAAAGCCTCCGAAGAATAGGGAAAAAGAGAAACATAATCAAATACATTCTCAACTACTCCTATCTTTTTTCCCAGACAATACACATACATAGTTCCAAACAATTAAAGAACCACATACACACAATTATTTTTCTACATTAATGTTAACCTGATATCTAGCATAGCATGGCAAACATGATTTATCTTAATTGCAGAATCTCTAGCTTATCTGAATTTACTCACAAATACATATATAGCCATTCCTAGATCCTAATCACGAAGAAGCACATCCTTCCAAGATATGAATATCCATAGTACCACTAGAGATTTGAACAATAGATTGAGTATGCTAGAATCACAGAATCGGCTGTAGTGCCATTGGACTAGAGCTCACCCGGGGGGTTAGGTTGCTGGGGATTGCAGCCTCGCGGGTGCTCTTCGTGGAGAAATCCTGTCGCCGTGGCCACCGCACCCGATTCCCAGCGACGAAGTGATGAGTCCTCTGCTAATTGAAGGAGAGAGACAAAGTAGATCTGAGCGGAAGAGGTTGGCATAGAGAGAGAGAGAGAGAGAGAGAGAGAGAGAGATTTCTCACCATGGCTGCTGCACCACCGATGGCTAGCGTACCGTTGCTGTGCCTGTGCCTTCGTCTCGGCACCGCGACCGCAAATCTAGCGAGTGGGGTCGGCGGTGGCTGCTGCGCGCAGGTTGGGAGGACGCAGCGGCGGCGGATGCGGGTGGGGGTGAGGTGGCGGCGGCGGACGCGGCTGGGTGCGGTGGCGGCGGGCGGACGCGGTTGGGTGGTGCGGCGGCGGATGCGCCCGCTTGGGAGGGTCGCTGCCCTTACGCGAGCGAGTGCGCGGGTGGCGGGGATGCGAGATGACTGGTTGGGGGCAGCGTGAGAGAATAAGGGTGGGAAAAAAATTTCCCCTCGCGCACTACTCTTCTCCGTCCACTGCGCGCTCTTTTTTCACGCTTCTATCTCTAATACGTGGACCACGCCAGCGATTGGAGCGCGCGCTCAGCTGCAGACTCTTGGCTCTGGGCGTCCCTGTCGGTGTCAGCACCTTTTCCCCTCGGTACAGTAGAAACGCAGGGGAAAGTTAAGGCGTCCGTGACGGAGCGGTGCAACCGAGAGGAGTGGTTTGCACCGACGGGAAAAAATTGCTTTCGGGTAGTGCACGTTAGTGACTAGAGATCCTTGAAACCCAAAAATATTAACCTGCCCAGTTGCCGTTATCAACAGGGTCAGCATAGTCCATCTTGTGTGTGGCCTGTTGTGGATTAGCTTTTGTATCGAAGATAAATGAGCAAGAGTAGCAAAGTAATTGAGTAGGTATAATTTTTCTCATTTAATTTCACCTACTCCGACAAGGATTTTATTCAGGAATCTAGCTAGGATTGAATTTCCTCATCAAGAATCTAGCATATGTGTAAGTGAACCTAGTTGTACGTGTATAATGGAGTTTCCACCTCTTGAGTCATACAAACAAGTTTTAACATACATAGTAAGATAAAAGAGTCAATATCCTGACGCTCTAATGAGTATCAATTCTAATAGTAGATCGTTATGCCATATGACTAACAACAGGTACATCACGACAATAATGTATGCCATATTTGAATTTCTCCATGAAACTGAACCATACTAAAAATGTGCCGAGTTTAACATTTGGATGTCGTCCAGACACTTGGAATAAGTTCCTTCACACACATACATAAAGAGTCTCTATCCAAGCGTGTATGAGTATGATTAATAAAAGAATGTTATATTTAATTGTAGGACGACTTGGGTCTGACAAGAAAAAGACGGGTAACATCTTGATCAATGGCCGACGAGAGAAACTTGCTTTTGGAACATCTGTAAGCACTACTGTTTCTACGTTTCAAAATTAAGAAACAATAAGCATGTTGTACATACGAAGAACCCACCCAATTAATACGGTGGTGCATCTTAATTTCCTTGCATTGAAGGCCTACGTGACCCAAGAGACTCTGCTGATGGCGACGCTGACGGTGACGGAGGCCGTCCACTACTCGGCGCAGCTCCAGCTGCCGGACTCGGTGCCGCCAGCCGAGAAGAGGGAGCGCGCCGACCGCGCCATCAAGCAGATGGGACTCGCCGCGGTGGCCGGGCACCGCATCGGTGGCCGCGTGTGCAAGGGGATCAGCGGCGGGCAGCGCCGGCGCGTGAGCATCTGCATCGAGCTGCTGGCGTCGCCGGCGCTGGTGTTCCTCGACGAACCCACCAGCGGGCTCGACAGCGCGGCATCGTTCCACGTCATGAGCCGCATCGCCAGGCTCGCGCGGGACGAGAGGGTCACGGTCGTCGCCGCCATGCACCAGCCCAGCAGCGAGGTGTTCCAGCTCTTCCATGGACTCTGCCTCATGGCGTATGGGAGGATGGTGTATTTTGGGCCAGCATCGGATGCAATCCAGGTTCTAGTGACGTTCTTGAAAAGCATGCTTATGGAACATATGCCACGTTCTCCAGAGCACAAGTTTTCATGAATGAATAGACATTTACTATAACTACCTACATACTAGTTCATTCCAACCTAATTTCAACATATTTCTAGTAGATTTTTTTATACTAATGTACTGAATTCGCCTCCCAATATAATCCATTGCATTGTTATTAAACTAAAAAGAATATAACAGTAATTGTGACTTCGTTTAAAATATCAATATGTTTTCTGTATTATCATCTTACAAGAAAATAACATAAAGGTTGCTGTATGATAGAGATATTAATTTGTAGAATTTTCAGCTGTTAGTTAGTTGTTGGCTACATCAAATTGCTTTCAACATTAATTAACCATACATCTCAAGTCTACTCTTGTTTTTCATATGATGAAAAAGACAGATGGTTCGTGTATCTCTCCACATGATGTTTACCTAATATGAGTATGTCTCCATATGATGATTAGTTGATTACCTAATATGTTTCTCTTTTTTTCCAAAAAGAGCTAATATTGTTATGGTTTAATATATCTGGGGTTATTAGAGCATTAATCCATATGATGGTTATCTAATATGTTCCTCTTTCTTTTTTTTTTTTAAAAAAAGAGCTAATATGGTTATGGTTTAATATATAACCATTACAAGTACAAATTGTTAAAAACTTCTTAGTTGTAAAAACTGTAGAAGTGTAAAAAAAAATTGTAGGTACGTTTGAAACCATGAGCATGAAATTCATTGTTTACATATATTTCATAATCTATCCATCTTCACACATGTCGCACACATCTTGTGTGCATATGAATGATATCTTTACTCCATGAACAAAGCCAGCTGCCCGTTGAAGTACATTTTACATATATATCGTTTCTGCAGTTCTTTGATGCTAATGGCTACCCATGTCCTATGAGAAGGAACCCTTCAGATCACTTCTTAATGATGATAAATAAAGATTTCGAGGTATTTATATTATCTGCTGGAATTAAGGCCATGCTTTGTTCTTTGTTTGCATATTTTCCTATGCTTACAAGAAAATACATTTGAATAGGAACTTGAGGAAGGGTCCACCCTCCTGTTACCATGTGCAAGTGAAGTCATACAAACTTTAGTAGATTCTTTAATATCTCAGAATAGTTTGGCAATGAGAAATGAAGCCTTTATGATGAAGCAGGTAAGCCTCTATGTCTAATTTAGCAAGCTACAATGACCGTATTATTACCGATATTAATTCTTACATCACTTTTCATTTAATTGTCCAGGGTGCACCTTTCACTAAGAAAAGGCAAGCTACCTTCTTGACCAAATGTTTAGTGTTGACCAAAAGATCTATAATTAACATGCATCGAGACATGGGCTACTATTGGTTGCGGTTTGGTATTTATATAGCCATTTGCGTAAGCATTGGCACAATTTTCTTCAATGTTGGCTATAGTTTTGCATCAATCCAAGTAAGTAAGCTCAAATCATTATATGCATATTAGAACATTGGAAAGTATTTGACTCCATCACACTCCTTGAGGATTTCAGGCAAGAGCATCTATGTTAATGTTTACATCAACTCTATTGACAATGATGTCAATTGGGGGATTCCCATCTTTTGTCGAGGACATGAAGGTACAAATGTTAATACCAATAGAAATATGTCTTAGATTTTTCTTGGATGTATTGAATGTGGTATATTTGTCTTTCGTTCCTTTTTTAAATGCAGGTGTTCAGAAAAGAGCAGCTGAATGGTCAATATGGTGCTACTGCATTTGTCATTTCTAGCACACTCTCATCAGCACCATACTTAGGAATCATCTCCATAATACCAGGTGCAATATGCTATTACTTGACTGGGCTTCAAAGAGGCTTTGATCACTTCCTCTACTTTTCGGCAGTGCTATGGGCTTGCACAATGCTGGTTGAGGGGTTGATGATGATTGTTGCTGCCATTGTGCCTGATTTTCTGCTGGGCATAATAACTGGTTCTGGAATGCAAGGGCTGCTGATGCTCAATGCTGGTTTCTTCAGGCTTCCGAATGACCTCCCGAAACCCTTGTGGAAGTATCCAACATACTATATCTCCTACCACAAATATGCTACACAAGGACTTTATAAGAACGAGTTTCTGGGATTAGTATTTGATGATTTAGGAAGGGGACTCACTATCAGTGGTGACTACATATTGAGGACCAGCTTACAAGTGGAGATGGGTTACTCTAAGTGGGTGGATCTTGCAATATTGCTTGTGATGGTATTGATCTATCGGGTCCTTTTCTTAGTCACTGTTAAAGTAGGTGAGGCAATGAAACCCATGATTAAATGCATGTCAATTAAACTCTAAGAAATACCTTTTCTTTTTCTACTTTAGCCAAAGATATGATGCAGTCGTCGTCAGTGTAGGGGTTTAGTCCCACATCGTGTAGTGATGATGGGGGAGCACAACATATAAGGCGGGAGAACCCCCACCTATCAGGCTAGTCTTTTGGGTTGAGTAAGGCCCAAAGGTCTTATTTGTTGTCAGCTTCGGTGGAACTGGGACCTGTGGGAGCGCAGGCTCATAACGAGCCGGGCTGGCTATAAGCCAGCTCCAAGATCGAGAACTCGGTGGTCACCACCGGTTCTAACAATCAGCTGGCTGTCATCAATGTATTGTAATAGTATTGTTCAACCTCCAACAAACAATGGATGTTGACAAATTGTTCAAGGTTTGTAACTATATTGACGTGAAGAATGTAATTGGATTGTTGATATGACACTTTGGCTCACCGCTACACCGGTTCTAACAGTCTGTTGGCTGTGATCAATGTATTGTAACAGTACAACCTTGTTCAACCTCCAACAAACAATGGATGTTGAAAAATTGTTCAAGGTTTGTAACTATATTGACGTGAAGAATGTAATTGGATTGTTGATACGACACTTTGGCTCACCGCTACAGAATAAAGAATTTCTGTCGAAGATTCACTGCTGGATATGTACCAGCCTCAACTGCAGGGTCATAGCAAATAATCGGGACAAATGTTCGGCATCCGAGAGACTCGGTAGTGAAGTCCAGTGGCAGAGCTGGTGAAACTCCAGTCCTAGGGCCACTGTATAAGTAGCTAGGTGTAAGGAAAATGGATTCTCTTGGCTAATTTATTTGGATTTTGATGTTTGATGATCAACAAGACCAAATTAGACTAATGCGTTTACAAGTATATGTTTTGTAGTTCAATAGAGTACAAAACGTGACTTGTACGAAGGCGACGTGATGATCCGATGATCAACACCTCAAGCAAGACCCTAGAAGCACAAGAGAAGACTCAAGAAACCAAGCAAGTCCAAGGCACGAAGATAGAACCAAGCCGAACGCAAAGATCACGAAGAAACGAATGAAGAAGGGGCTCGACAGAGAGGACCGGTGTAACAACCCAAAAATCCACACACAAAAAACACAACTACAAAATTTTTGTTTAAGCCCTATGTGATGTTGAGTGACACATGTAGAAGCCAAACCCTAGTTTTGGATTAGATGTGACCCAACTAGGTTAAAATCATAAGCATAGTTTGGTTTTATGCCACATGTGTAATTAAATTCCTAAATAAATAAATCATGCATGCATCATTAATTTCACTTGTGATTTGGATTCTTTTGACTTATATGATGTTTAACTAACTTACTTAATATTTATGATAAACCCTAAATAATGAATTATTTGTTGGAAGAATAAAACACCCCTATATAAAAACTTCAACTATTTTTGTATAACAAAAATAGCCAATAATCCCTAATATATGGGATGTATTTTGACCAACACTTGAAACACCTTGTGGAACCCACTACATGAATCGAAGCAAAAGAAAGAAAAGAGAATCAAATAGAAAAAGAAAAGAAAAAGGAGGGAGCGCAATTTCAGACTCTTTCGGCCTTGCAAGCCAGCTTGTTCGGCCCAACTCGCGCTACTTTGCCCTCCCACTCACAGACGTGGCCCACGGCGGCCCAAGAACACCCTACCGCTTGCAGCACACACAAGCCAGCGAGCGAGCCGGACCCGCCGTCACCGCCACGCCACCACCGCGACGCCGCCAAGATCGGGACAAGTCGACAAACGGGCCCCCCTCGTCGGCCCGCTCAACTACTGAGATCGTCTTCCCCACGCTCCCTCCACCACGCGACCGAGAGCCGACCGCGGAGCAGGCACGGGCCCGGGGTCACGCACATCGCATGACCCTGTCCCCCACCTTAGCGCCGCGCCCACGCAACCGTCCCCACACGCGAGAGCCGCCCGATGTGCTCGGCGCATCACCAGCTGTTCCGCCATCCACCATGGATGAGCATGGAGCTCGGCCTATAAAAGGAGGACCCCGAGCCCTAGTCCTCCATTCACCTCGCCGCCGCCGTGCGGTTCGCACCAGCACACTAAGCCAAGGGATGAGAGGAGAAGGAGAGGCGCGGAGAAGGACGCCGCCGCCGGAGTAGAGGAAGGCGCCACCGTCTTCTTCCGTGAGCCGGCGCAGCACCACGCACCGCTACACGGTCGCACCTTCATCACCACACCGCCACTCCGCACCGCCAAGCACACCGCGGTGAGCACCTTGGCTGAGACCTCTCCAAGCCCATTGGGAATGCCATCGCAAGGCACGCGCTCGCCGCGCTCGCAACACCCCGCGGCGAGGTCACCACGGTGCGGTTACGCGCCATCGCGCCCAACACCGACCTCGCTACGAGCTTCGCCAAGCCCGCGAACACGTGATGCACCCATTTAGTGATAAGGAGAGCATGGGAGAGACCCTGACCACGGGGCACGCCGGAGCTACCCTACCGCGGAACGCCGCCGCCATGGCGTGGCCACCGCATGCGCATCCGGCCGCCTCGCTGGACTGGGAGTGGCCGTAGAGCACCGCCGTGACACCTGGATGCTAGCCGTATAGACCAAGAAGCCGTTAGCCAGCCGCAGCGCCTTGGCCACGTGCACCGGACCTCGGGCGGAGCTCCACCGTGCACCACCACCGCGTGCGGACTCCACCGCGCCTTATGGTCATCATCGATGCTACACTATGCCTCCCCGCTAACTGACTGAAGGAAGATGGGGAACCAGGACCCCTGGAGTTGCCCCTAGATGCCTCGCCGACGAGCACCACCACGCCGAGCCACCGTTCACCGTGGCCAGAGCCCTAGGAAGCCCTAGCCATCGCCCCGACCCCACCATCGCGGTCGCCATGGCATGGGTAAGCTATTGCCTACCTTAATCGGACGCTAGCGCCGCCGCGGGGGCTCGCCGGTGATCTCACCACCGGCGGGAGCCCTGTCGGGGAATAGAAGGGGATTTTCCCCTCGCCGGCCACACGTCCGTGCACTTGGTGCACGTGAACCGAACCCTAGGAAGGAGTAAGTAGACCAAGTCCTTCATAGACCGGCTCTACGGTCTATGGACCAATGCAGGCGGGTTCACCATGAACCGCGCCTCACCTACGCCCGTGGACTATGGCCCGTTAGTGGCCCATTAAGACGACATGGCCGCACCAGCGCGCGCCACATGGCGGGCCAAACCTCAGCCCGTATCTAGGCCCAACCGGCCCAGTTTGGACCTGGCCTGAGCTGACCGTTGACCGGGACCCACCTGTCAGCCGCGGTTTAGCTCTAATGACGTCATGCCGATGATGTGACCACGCCAGCGTCGGGGACATCGACGATCTCTCCGACCACCTCGGCGACCTCTCCGACCACCTCACCAGCTGATACACCACTCCAAGTCCCTACATGCCACGTGAACCAGTCACAGTGTGACACGTGTCAGCCCTGAATTAATCAGCCTTTATTATTTTCAGAAATGGATTTAATCTTCGGAAATTCATAACTAATTCATACGACCTCAGAAAAATATGAAATCAGGACCAAAATTCATCTAAAATCGAGCTCTTCGCAATGAACCCATGTTTGAGTGCATTTGGCTCTTTTGATTTTTCATTGCTTCTTTGTGCTATTCTATAGATGTCGCTAACGCGACTATAATTCGATCGTATGCAGACTCGGAGGAGAACCAGACGGACGAGGATCATGAGTACCGTGAGGAGTGCAGGGACGCCTTCACTGAAGGTGCCACATCCCACCCAACCTCGTAGCACCTATTACGCATGGCTAATATAGAACTGCTATTGCTTTACTTTATTGATATATTCACACTATGATAGGACTTGCATGGTAGTATGCTTACTTGATGGCCTTTACCTTGACGCAACCTTATCCCTGCTTACCCTGCTATTAGGCTAGACACACGCTTGTTGCTATATTTCATTGCTTATTACTTCTACCACACTTGTACTACATTGATGCGTGGTGGAAACTGGTGTTATCTGGACTATGGGGAGAGTGCTGCATGTGTGACTTGGGTGCATGGAGGGTGAGGGTTGTGTCGACCAAGTTGGAATATACGACGAGCCTGGGGCAAGTCTTGCCGCGAGGTGCTACCTGGGCACCCCTGGAAATGGATACCTGTGGTGGGTAAATGGTATATGAGGTGGCCCTAGGTGTGAACCTGTGATGGGAGGAGCCCAGGGTGGAGGTGCTGTGGTGGCACGGTAAATGGAAACCTTGATGAAGACATTCTGGCTTGGTCATCCCTAAGGACTTACTAGTACTCAGATTCATCGGGAAGCCTTACGTACCACTCGCCCTATATGGTGCGGGACGACCGGACTACTTGTTAGGATATTGCCACTACTGCTAGGTTGATAGCGGACAGTGCGAGGAGGTATGGGGCGCGGAGGATTCCCCCCACACCCTTCTGAGACTTCATGGAGACCTTGTGGACCCGGCTCATGACTCACAGTTTCAACCACCTCAGACTAGACTTGGGGTGTACCAGGGCTGAATGGTAGAGTGGCATTATCCTATCCTAGTAAGCGGCCAGAATCAGCCCAGTTGATGACGGTCAGCGAGGAAGGCAGATCTTGTGGTTATGTAAAACCTCTGCAGAGTGTATGGTTGATCGATTGATACATATGCCGACTTGTTGGCTATGGACCTTTCCTAGGCTTCGCTTAAACTAGATAGTGAGATGAGTCCTTCTCTTCTTCCCCCTATGAGTGAGTGTTCGGTCATAGCTAGGGGCTACGGGCCATGAGACAGTGCCAAGAGGGAGTTGGCCTGTCGACTAAGCGATGGTATGGTGGTGATGTGGTGATGGTGTGGAGATGGTGGTATATCGATCCCAGGATCGAAACCTGGCTCTAGACAGAAATGGGGTGAATAGGTGTGGGAATGGCGTTAAAACTTGACCAACTATTATTATATACATGATATGCTAAATAGGAAACCCCGGCCTTATAGGTTCCTTTTTGATTATATCCAACTTGCATTCA